TGGTAGCCAGTGGCCTCCAAGGGGTGGAGCTACACAGCGGCGGGGCTCTACTCACGACAGAGCTCGTGGATGGCTCGCCTTGGAGAGGGCACTAAAGGCATCGGTAGAGGTAGCGGAGCTTGCACAAAGGTGATGGCTGCGGTGGCAGAGTTGGAGCTTGCATGAAAGCGGCGACGAGCCCACTGCCGTCTACCAGTCTACCATCGCCACTGGGCTTATTCGGTCAACCGCGCATCGTTGCTGCCATAAGATTCTCTGGCCAACCATGCTCCACTGCTGACGCCGCGGGGGACTAGTCTCCGCCACTGCCACCCTAGGCTTGTCCGGTCTGTAGGATCGAATCACAAGAACTAAGCCAACCAGAGGGGGGTGAATGGTTGATATACCCAAAAACCCAATCTTTTAGCGGAAATAAAAGTTACCATCAAATTCGATGTAGATCGGTCTGACTGAGGTTGATCCGCCAGTCTGACCGAGCTCGTGCCGCCGGTCTGACCGGTGTTGATCCGCCGGTCCAACCGCCTGAAGATTGCCTGCCACGTGTGAAGTCGCTGCCAGTCTGACCGCCTCTCCTCCGTCGGTCTGACCGCCGCCTGCCGCCGGTCTAACCGCCGGTATGTCGCCGGTTAGACCGCTGAAACCCGATGAAACACAAATCGAAGAACTCTCAAAGTAGATGACAACTTTATTACTTCTGTCTGTGTTTATAAAGTACACCAACAGCACTCCTTACAAAAATCTCGACTAAACTCGAAACCCTAACTAAACTAGCAACTCAATTGCTCTCAAAAGCGATACCGGGAAGCCTCACGCTCCCCCTCTATTTATACATAAGGTAGGCAGCCTAAAGCCACGAACCAAACTCATACTAAGAGTCCTAAACATCTTAGGAAACCCTATAGTACAAGACACAAACTTTACATAACCAATTGTACCAAATTTGGACTCCTTCCAAATTCGACTCCGCATCCCATACGCACACAATACCTCCATCGTATGCCATATGGAATCTTCACCAACCACGTGCATCAACTCTAGTCTTAGTATCCCGCATGATATCTAACCACCACGGACATCGTCTTACCACCAAGCCGACTCCCGGTCCATCACCGCAAATACTCTCCCGAGGCATCGAGTCACCTACACATGAAATAAACAAAGAAACCATATTCCGAGACCAAGCTATCCCCAACTTGACTCATTGTTAGCAAACAACAGTATTACATACGTATAATATCCATCTAGAAGCCATAACCATGAAACAATCACGGATATCCAAACAAACAACCCGAAACCGAAATCGACGTAGCGTCGGCCGGTCAAACCGTGGGCCGGCCGGTCTGACCGCTTAATCACCACCGGTCTCACCGGTATACACCACCCGGTCGGACTGGTCACATAAAATAACAGTGAATCCGATCATCACCTGAAAATTGATTATCTCCAAAACCACTTCGACGATAATCTCCAAATATCAAAACCAATAATCATAGATGCCAATTATTCATCACAGAATAAGAATCAAAACACACTTTGATCTTACACGGTCGACCGCACTCCACCACCGGCACCCCGGGGGACTAGTCACCGCCGCCGCCGCCATAGGCTTCTTCGGCTGACCACACTAGGCTTCTCCGGCCGACTGCGCTCTGTCGCCAACATCCCAGGGGACTACTCTTCGCCGCCACCTTGGGCTTCTTTTGTCTCCATCTCCTCTCAGTTCAAGGGTAGAGAGAGATGGAGGGGGAAGGAGGTAGAAGAGTGAGAGTAGATATAGAGACCGACATGTGGGCCCATTATTTTTAAAAATATTTTTTGCCACGCCGGAGTGCCACGTCAGCCAGTTTATGCCAAAACCGCCCAAAACAATGCTCGGGGGTAGTTTATCTAGTTTGCATAGTTAAGGATGTAAAGTGCTTGGTTTTCGAGAACAGGAAGGTAATTCATAACTTTTTTTCCTTCATTTTATTGAAAAGTGTTATGAGGATTGACACAGTTGGAGCCTCTCATGTTGTTTTTTTTTAAAAAAATTATTCCAAGGATTATCGGGTGGCCGACTTGCGCCCTTCCCTAATTCGTATATACATTCCATTATATCTTATATTAGCTCATGTAAATGTTATAAATTGATACTTTATTTTTTTTCATGTTATTTTGGGAATTTCTATATTTGTTATCAATGTGATAATTTATATGCTTTTTCTTGTCCTTTTAGAATTACTAAGAAAATTCCTTCTCTTGATTCTTTGTTCAATCCCTTGCACAGACATGAGTTTTGCTCGCCTTCCAGTTTTTATCTATGACCCTCTCTAGACCAGTGCTGCTAGTTGACCACTCTATCAAGTCCGTATTAAGTCTAAGACTTACCACATGAAACCTAACCAGTTGAGCTATTAACAATTTAGTCACGAGTGCTCGCATTTACAGTTAATTACTCTTTCAGCGGTATGTGAGACGTACTCGTCAACAACAAGATGCCTAAGGTGGCTTCATCATTCTCAGGATATATATGTCAGGCTAACACTGGTGGAGAAGTAGTTTTTACTCCTGGTTCGTAACCCCCCTTTAGTCTCGGTTTTCCAACCGGAACTACGAATCCGGGACTAAAGATCGCTATATTTAGTCCCGGGTGAAATAACCGGGAGTAAAAATCTATCTTTAGTCCCGGTTGGTGTAGATAGAGCCAGGCCGATCCCTGGCTGCTCCTTTATTATATTCTTTTCTTCATTGTTTTTAATATATTGATTTCACTCCATCCCCATCCCCAAAATCCCAAATCAATTATCACCTCCAAATCCTCAAATCGATCATCTCCAAATACATCACAAAATCTTTTAAAAAAATTACATCACAACTTCTACAAAATTCATCACAAATACATCACATATTCATATCACACACAAATCAAATACATCTCAAATCCGGATCACAAATTCTCAAAAAAAAATAAAACAAGCCGCCATCTTCCGCCTGCCGCCCAGCCGCCACCTTCCGCCTTCCGCCAGCCAGCGCCGCGCGCCGGCCGCCGCGCGAGGCCGGTGCCGCGCCTGCAGATCGGGGATGAGTGGGGGGAGGGGGAGGAGGAGCCTCGCGTGGCGCCGCCGCCTGCAGATCGGGGAGGAGGGGGGAGGGGGAGGAGAAGGAGAGGAGGGGGAGGAGGAGAGGATCCTCCGCGTGTAAGATAGCGAGGAGAAGGGGAGGAGAAGAAGAGATAGAACCGGGAGGGAGGAGGGGAGGAGGAGATATGTATCTCGATCCCGCACGCCTTGATCTCTCCGCGCCTCGATCTCTCCACGCATGCTGATCTTTTTTCCTGGTTGGTGTTACCAACCGAGACTAAAGATTGATCTTTAATCCCGGTTGGTAACACTAACCGGGACTAAAGATATTAGAGGGGTTTGACATCACCTACCGTTTTTTAACCGGGACTAAAGATGATCTACCAACCGGGACTAAAGATCAAAAAGTAGCTCTAACCTTTTCAACCGGGACTAAAGATAATCTTTAGTCCTGGTTTTTATTGCAACCGGGACTATTGTGGAATTTGGTCGACCGTCCAAAGATGGTTTCTCCACCAGTGTAATCTTTCGAATGTACTTATGAGGATATGGTGTGCGTGTGTACGTTTTATAGGGATGAGTGTGCACATCTGTTTGTATTGTTTCTAATAAAAAGGTTGGGTGCACTTGTCCAGCACATATGTGGTACTTGCACTCTTGTAAGTTAGTCTCACGTATCAAATACACGTAAGCAACAAAAGTTATAGTTTTTTAATAAAATAGTTTGTTATTTTTGTAATTTTATGAAATGTTTGGCTTAAGTTGTAGCTAAGTGATAGTTTTGATAAAATAATTGTAGTTATGTGAAATTTACTTTATAAAACTTGAGTGGTAGACCTATGCCCTGATCCCTACGTCAAAACCTTAAAAGGGCGGTTATTTTTTAAGTTGTGTGAATTTGTTTGTGAAATTAGACGAATCCAAATCAACAAAATGTGAAACTACAAAAAATTTCTAAAATGAGGTCAACTAACATGATTTGTACATACGGATGAGAACTGTGAGGTAGTACAGCTATAAAGAAATAGAGCAAAACTTTGGGATGTAGAAGTGATTGAAAAAAAAATAAACACACAAGATGAATTTCCTTAGAATTACTATATGTTTTAGATAGCAACAAGATAGTATTTTTGTAGTATTAAAAGAAGGATTTGGGGGTTTCTTTTTTTCTTTTTTTTGAGAAACTATTTGGGGGTTTCCGAATGGGCTTGCATGCCTACATAGCTACATGGGATGGGAACTAGGGAGACAAACAGTACAACCGCGGGTCCCAAGAGAATATAGTCTGTTCTTCTCGTTAAGACACAGCATCAACAAACTAGTAACTAATTAGATTACGAGACATACACAAGGTTAACAAACTAAGTAATTCGCATAGCTAAGCTTATTTTCACGTGCAAGCATGTGACGACCCTGTTAAGAGAATTGACCTCACATCAAGAGTCATGATCGAAGCTTAATTTTTACTAGTACGTACTTTAACCTCCTGAGACCCAAAAGGTCCTATAAACCTCCAAAAAAAATGAAGAAAACACCAAAATAAAGGCCCCAAATGCTTAGCGCCTTAGCCAATCGATTTAATATACACTTGATTAGTACTAATCAATCCAAAGCAATGATGCATTAATTGACTACGTGGAAGGTTAGCGAGGGCGCTGTCAGCCACTGGAACGTTGTGAGACCGGCACGAGACAGATTAGTCAAGCGGTACGGTTGCCGGTTGGTTCCGGCAGTGAGACCAATTCATTCCCCCTCTCCCTCTCTCTCTCTCTCTCTCTCTCTCTCCTCACGTCACATGAATCTCGAGAAAGTATGTAGAAATTGGCAAAGTTCTTGTGACGGATTAATCAGGTCATGTGAAGAAACAATCCCTTCCCTTCTCATCAAGGAGTTGCTAAACCCATCATCAACCTTATCCAACAAAACTTTCAAATTTAGCCGTTCTAAAATTGAAACCCTCTTCCACTCTCCCAGGTCCCTTTTTTTGGACGAGAAAACGCATGCGAAACGGGGGAAATTTGGATGGTTTTTATTTTTCTTTTCGTCGAAACGCACCACTGGCTATCGCGTCGTCCACTACTATTCTCGCTCTCCCCTCTACCAAGGCCCCCACGCCACGCACGCGCACAAAGTCTGAGGCGGAACTAACCCACCAATCCGCCACCAACCCAGAGCGCCGAGAAGCCCAACCGCGGCGAGCAGTGTGCCACGGGCCGGCGCGCCGGCGAACTCCTCCTCCTATGCTCGCCGCCGGCGATGCCCAGCCCGCTGAAGGAGCGACCCGCCGGCCGACTCGGCCGCCTCCTCGCCGCGCTCCGCCCGGCGCGCGCTGGCCCGCTCCCCGTCCAGACAGGCTTCCCCACCTCCCTCGCTGACCTCGTCGTCAAGAACCATGGCCGCCTCAAGAAGCCCTCCGCCTCGGCGTCCAGGCGCAAGAAGCGCGGCGGGCCGGAGGCTCCCCCCTCGCCCTCGCCCTCGCCCTCGCCTTCCCCTCCGCCGCAGCCTTCCTCGCCACCACCACCACCACCATCCCCGCCGCCTGCGGCCGCTGTCTCGGTCTCGCCGCCAACCCAGCCGAGACCGAGACCGGAACTTCCGCCGGTGGAGGCCGTCCTCCGCCGCCAGCCCAAGGGCCGCGTGTTCGGCCTTGGGCTGGGGTTCGTCTCGCTCGTCGGCGTGGTGTCGCTCGCCCTCCTCGTGATCTGGAGCAAGAAGGTGGTCGCGGCCGTCACCGTCGCCTCCTTCTCGCTCTTCCTGCTCGAGTCCGTCAGGTCCTCCGCGCTTTCCCGGCGGCCGCGGCGGCCGGCGGCGAACAACAAGCTGGATTTGGACGGGCGCGGCTACGTCTCGCCGATCCGGGAGGTGGAGCCGGCGAGGGCAAGCTTCTCCGATTCCTCCAGGCGAAGCGAGTTATCCATCCTCACCATTGAGGAGAGAAGCGAGGTAGGCGACGATTCGATAGTCGCCATTGAGGAGAGAATCGCGGCAGGCGGCGACGACTCAAGCAACGCCAAGGTCAAGACCAAGAAACGGTCATGGAGGAAGCTGATTCCCCGCAAGTTACAGAAGGGCATGAAGGGCAAGGAGGCGGAGGATTCGTCGGGTTCTTTCCGCAGCAGCGAAGGCAACCGAGGTGACGCCACGGCGACGGATTCCTCGGACTCTCGCCGTGGAATGCGCACCAAGGCCGCGGACGCCTTCGTCGCCAGATCGATGGATTCTTCGCCGTCTTTCCGCGGGAACGGAGGCGACACGGACGCCGACGCTTACAGCAATGCCACGCGGGTAGAAATCGACGCGCCGGCCGATGTCCTCGCCGGAGACGGCGACGCCGTGGGAGGGACCCGGTCCTCCGTCGCGCTCCTCGTCGTTGCCGTCGTTCTCGTAGGCCTCGTCGCCGGCAAGCTCCCGGCCGTCGTGTTCACCGTGCTTTGCGGCGTGTTCATTAGCTCGGTTCAGAGATTGCCGGCGGGCGGTGACGGCAACGGCGATCGGAGCTTTACATGGTGGTTTAGGATCAAACCCAAAGATGTAAATTAGTGGCAGAAGAAAGGGGAGAGTTGAGTGACAAAAGAAAGAAGCAGCAAATACATAAATATTTGTTCTTGTTGCTCGTGTCGTTCGTGCTTTGCATTCATTCCTTACTGAATCGGAACTCGAAGTGCAATGTTAACTTAACAACGTTATGTAGTGTTTAGATGGGCTAAAACTTTTTAGCCCCAGTCACATCAGATGTTTGTACGCTAATTTAGAGTATTAAACATAGATTAATAAAAAACTAATTTTATAAATGAGAGCTAATCCGCGAGACGATTTTTTAAGCCTAATTAATTCATAATTATCAAAAGTTTACTGTAGCATCACATTGTCAAAATTATGGCGTAATTAGACTCAAAAGATTCGTCTCGCAATTAGTCCAAGCTTATGGAATGGGTTTTGTAATTAGTGTATGTTTAATACTCCAAATTAGTGTCCAAACATCCGATGTGACAGGGACTTGGAATAAGTCCCTGGAAACCAAACATCCCCTTAGAGTCTCGCCCGAAATCTGTCTGCAGTTCATCCTTAGGATTACAGCTTTCTTTGCACCGTGTTGTTTTTTTAAACAATCCGATAGTGCGATGATTCTATTGATTGAGCAGAAAAAATTACAAGCCTGTATAACCCTCGAAGGCATAGCCTCGAAAAGAAAACAACCACATCATGCTTCTACAACCAAATCGCGCTACTGAAGGGTAAATGAACACGACACCCCTAAGAAAAGAATCTTCTAGACGATGCCACCCAAAAGTATCGCCACCGCCTGTCGTGAGAATCCAAGACAAGATTTTCACTCGAAGAAATCCAACAGGGAGAGCATAGGAGATCATACAACAACACCTCAAGGGAAAAGCGGTGCCCGCAGACGTGGTCATTACTGGCCCCAAGGCTGGGCTTTTGTCCGTGATCTTTCTGCTCTCCCGAGTCGAGGTCAATCCGGAAACAGCAGCCCACCACCCGTCCACCTTCGACACGCAGCCACCGTGCCAGCGCCTCGTCGCCAGTCAGCCTTCAGGAGGGAGCTCGACCACTGACGCACTCCGAATCCATCCAGGTAGTTGGGCTGGAGAGGGAGAGGGTGAGAGAGAAGAATGGATCCTCCCTCCCTTGCACTAGCCCACCGACGTGGCAATCTTATGACGACAAAGCGTCGTCGCAAGAGGACAAGCGTCTATATCCAAGCCCGTTGCAGGCCCACAGCACCCACCTCACAACACCACCATCGCCGCTACCTCGGCTGGATATCCCATGGCAGCACCCCCACCTCAAGCCGTGCGCCCGCCGCGAACTCCCATAGCCCCCGCCACCACACCACTCTCGACAATCACCTTTATCATGCTGGCGCCCCATCGTCGCTGCCTGTTGCGCACTGATCTCTTACCATTGGCCATGCACCGCCGTCGACTGTGACTACGTGTCGCAAGTCCTCCTACTGCTACCAGCCATGTCCTGTGGCCTTCTGCTGTTGCCACTTGTGCCCCTCGCCGACCGGGTTAGCCTCGCCACCGTCGCCCCCTCGCCCACTGCCACAACAACATCCGTCTCTTCCGGCCAAATCTGGTGTGGAAGGGCCTCGATCTAGCCATTGGGGCCGGATCCACGCTCCGTTGTCACTGCGCCTGCTCCTTCCCCACCTCCTGCCACAAACCTCTCCTCCGCTGCCATCTCCGGAACCGCGGGGTGGGCACCGGATCTAAGGTAGAGGACACAAGATCCGCCGTGCATACCTCTCCCCCACCTCCTGCCCGTCCCTCTGCACACACCGCCTCCACGCCCTCTACCCCGCAGCCACATCTCCTCCAAAGCCTCCTCCACTGGACTTCTCACTAGCTCTGATGGAGAACCGGGGTTGGGTGGTGCAACCACGGACCCCAGCTGTTCAGGCTTTCTCCGGGAGGGGGAAGCACCTCTCTGTTACCATTCTTGTGACCGTTCGGCTTTGTCGATGAGCCACTCGGGCGGTGGCGAGGCGAATGGGAGGGGGGAGGGGGCGACTGTGGCAAGTTTTCACCATCCAAGTCAGCCCTGAGGTGGGAGCGACGGGAGGAGGAAACTTCTCATGATCATAGGAAAAACATAGGAATTTTGGAGGATTTCAATTCTATAGGAAAAATTCCTATGAATGCCTTTAAAGCAAATGATTGAATCCTTCCTATGGAATGGTTAATCCTATAAAGATTTTGAAGAAAACTTAGTAAGAGCTCAAACTTTTGGAAAATTTTCTTTGAGTCTATCTATCTCATTTGATTCATGTGTTTTCCTACAATCCAATTAAACAGTCATTCATGTGTTTATCCTATGTTTTGTAATATTCTGTTTTACACTTTTATTTCTATTAGAATTATGTGTTTTTCTTTTATTTTTGTTTTTTTTCTCATTTCTGCGATTTAAATGTGACCTTGGTGTTGTTGGTGGCTGCACTAGTGTTGTTGATGATACACTATTTCTTTTTTTTTTTATGTGATGCAAGAATATTCTCGCTGCCATTCAACGGAACACCCCTCCCCGTCGAATCGACGATTACCCAAGTGGCAATCGTGAACATTTTCGTCATTTTTTCTTCAAACTTTTAACTTTTTCATCACATGTAAATTTTTCTATACACACAAACTTCCAACTTTTTTATCACATCATTCTAATTTCAACCAAACTTCTAAAAGTGTGAACTAAACACACCCATCCCGACCATGGCTGTTGCGACTTGCGATGATCAGAAGCTGCATTGGATTGCACAGCACCGTCCCACTGAACAGGAGTACTGATGGGCTACTACTGCTGCTATGGCCGCCGGCCTATGGGTTTCACTCGGTCGTAGAGTAAAATAGTGCTGGCTAGTGAGACAAGCACAAGCTGCAGAGTTCGGCATCATCCCGGCCGGTCCCCATGATCCAAGCTGAGAACTCCATGGGATCCATCTGATCCGACGGCCGGGTGGACCACAATGCTGCAGCCTGCGCGCAGGGGAAAAGCCTGGGAGCGCCATCATTCCAAAGCCGGCAAGCAAAGGCAGGCAGGCAGGCAGCAGCCGCCCCGGTTCGCGGGCTTCGGCTGCACTAGTTTTTCGCTACCACCAAATTGAAAGCCACCTCGCGCGGCTTCTCGCCTCTGCCTCAGGCCTCAGCCGTCGAGGAGAGGGCTCATGTGAGAACGCGTAGCCGCGCACCCGGCCGGGCTGGCACCGTGTGTCCGTGTCTCGTCACTCTCCGTGCTGGGTCTTGTACTGGCATTCATGCCGCCGCAAGTCGCAAATGGACTTTTCCCAGTGGTGAAGCCCGTTTTTCCAGCCGTACTGTTAACTGTCTATGCACAAGAATGTCCCCCCAATTGCATGAGAAAAAAAATCAAAAATAAAAAGAGAAGATTTATGCGTGTCACCGTTTGGTTGCAGCTAATCACACAGCCTTGGGCGATCTGAAATTCTGAATCCGTCGTCATTTGTTGATTGCTGTGGACTGCTTGGCTCGGAGAGACGTACTGGTGCAGACATTTGGAAGATCGACGAGGGAACCTAGCAGCACCGCTGAGACGCTGACGCCGATAGGGGACATTCTTGTGCAAATTTATAATCAGTTAATATTCGTTCGGAAAAAAGAAAGTGAAATCAGCTACTAGCATCTGCCATTTGACTGATCCTGGAGGGAAACCTCTAGTTTAGCCACACAGCAACACTCATGTTTGTCAGCGGTTTATTATAACTTCTCTCGCCAAACAAACATGACATCTTCTTCTTGGAGTTTCTTGGGCTACGCGTTTCTTCTCCATGGAGTTACGGCCGGTGATTGGGTAGTACGTGGGTTGAAATATGGTAGAGTTGGTGATCCCGGCAGATTTGGTTGGAGTTATTCGGAATTTTCTATCATTAGCGCAGCTTCTTCTGGTCAAAGTCTACTCTTGATTCTTTTTTTCACCACGAACCAGACGGTTGAGTGTTCTCAAAAAAAAAAAAACAGACGGTACGTTCGAGGAAATTCTTCCTGATGCCACAGCGGGAATCAAATTGTTTCGCTCTAAACAGGTATGTGTAAAATTCATTGGTGCCACGAGCCCATTACGGGGCTTATGCTATTGTGCATATCTAATTGATTCGGGGTGTCTAGAAATGAAGTTATATAGAAAGGTTTTCTTTTAACTACAGTAAGAAAGGTATATTCACTACGGCACATAGTCCCTCTATCTAAAAGTCTAAACATATTTCATTTTTTGGTTTTTTCAAATGAGTTAGATATATTTTTAGTCTTTATGTGTTAAATTAAATTATTGATCAGAATCCATAAAATTATTTTAATACTCATTGGTTGCATCTATATATATTGTTTAGATAATGAAGATGATTTATATCTTCAGTCTCTGTCAAAGTCAATAAAAGATAAAAGAAATATACATGCATATAGTTTCTTGGTTTTATTATATGATGGATAAGTTAATTTCTCCTTAATCTTGATAATAAAAGAAATATGTTTTAAAGATCAAGGGAGTATGATTTAGTGCTAGATTTCAGTAATTTCGTAGGATTGACCGATTTGGCGCGGACAAAAGAGGAGCAAAGAATCCAAGTATGATCCTGTGATTACTGTGATTCACGTTTTCGATTTGTTAGGTGCTCTTTCCTTGGCATCTAGTAGTGTAGCAAGAAATGTACCACAACGAAGAAAAAGTCACATTAGAAGCTGGCCTGGGAAGTTTTCTCCGCGTGATTCAGGGACTTTTGGTCTTGTCAAGTTAAAACAAAACTAAGGGTGTGTTTAGCTAACGCTAAAATTCGAAGTTTGGTTGAAATTAAAACGATGTGATGGAAAAGTTGAAAGTTTGTGTGTTAGGAAAGTTTTGATGTGATGGAAGTTTGTGTGTAGGAAAGTTTTGATGTGATGGAAAAGTTGGAGGTTTGAAAAAAAGTTTGTAACTAAGAGCCCCGTTTAGTTCCCCAAATTTTTTTCCAAAAACATCACATCGAATCTTTGGACACATACATGAAGCATTAAATATAGATAAATAAAAAAACTAATTACACAGTTAGGGAGGAAATCGCGAGACAAATCTTTTGAGCCTAATTAGTCCATGATTAGCCATAAATGCTATAGTAACCCAAATATACTAATGATGGATTAATTATGCTCAAAAGATTCGTCTCGCGGTTTCCAGGCAAATTATGAAATTAGTTTTTTCATTCGTGTCCGAAAACCCCTTCCGACATCCGGTCAAACATCCAATATGACATTGAAAAATTTTATTTTCGCGTACTAAACAGGCCCTAAACTCGGCCTAACTGCAGCATATTAGCTGTATAAGAGTACTATACTCTATTGGTGGGATTAGTTTTAGAACAAATATATTGTCCCATCAATCCTTTCACTTATCAGCTCACATGGAGAATTATTCTCTTCGTACGATCTGATTGGTGTGGGTGTAGAGTCCCATATAGCAGAGCAGGGCAGGTTATGAATTTCTTTTAACATTTTAAAATTTTAAAAATTAATATAAACCTTTTAGTCACGCCAGTCTCATTGGTGTGGTAGTGTGGTGATATAAAATACATTGACAATATAATTGTGTTGTTTCGTCACGCTAGACGAAGTGGCATAGCCAAAAGAAAATATTTTTTTACTATAATAAAAAATTAAAATTGTTCAAAGAAAAAAAATCACCGATTATAAGGGGCTCCAAATACACGAGCAAGCGTGAGTAAACCAAATTGCACGCGAGCCCCTCCACCTTATACTTTTTGTCCATAGTTCAAGACAATCTTCACGTGTAAGTTGCAGCTGAGATTATAAGATGACTGGCGATTGCGATGGTGCTGACATAAAAAACATTCCCCGCTCCTAGTCTCCCACCTCTCCTCCCTCTACCCTCACCCTCCAGTGCTTGTCATCTTCTCTTCTTCAACAGTGAAAAGTTGGCAAACTCAATTCCCGCAAATGCAATGCTAACAAATCTCATGACGACCTCTCCTCCGGCTAGCCAGTCATGGCAACTAGGTGAGCTATTTGTCTCATCTTCCCTCCTCCTCTACCCCCTCCCACCTTCTATGGCCAATAGCGCCACCGTCTTCTCACCACAGCAACCTCCCTACCCATTGTCCTAGCTGGTCACGCTCTTTCCCATGCAATGACCTTGCACACCGTTGTTTACCAACTGCGGCTGAGCCACGACGGTGCTCCCGCACATACCTATAGGTTTTTGTTTGTCACACATGAGGGTTCATTCATTAAGATTCTTGTGGCTATGGGGGCTTTGTGGCACACAAATAAAAGGGATCAGTTGTGCATGGGGGAAGACGTTGGATGTTGTCATGCTAGTGAGCTCGGCGAAGCCTCCTTTGTTAAATCCTCATAGTTCTCGATTGTAATCGCTCGTCCTCCAGAACTGCGTAGCCAAGCCTAACCGACGAGCGGACCCATTTACACTTTCATCTTCGCTTTGTGTAAAAGGGTCCTCCAGAACTACGTAGCCAAGCCCAACCGGCAGGCAGACCCACTTACACTTTCATCTTCGGTTTGTGTAAAAGGGTTAACCTATGAGTAGTATGGTTGCCACACATGTATACGTTCGTACATCCAATACTAGTGCCATATGCCATGCCATGTGCCCCACATGCCCTAGCCTAACCGATGGACGGTCCCACTTACACATATCATCCCAATTACATTTTCATCTTCGTTTCGTGTAAAAGGGTTAACCCGATTGTGGTATGGTTGGAGGGAGGATGCCTTATAAATTGGTTCCAGCCTTGATAAACTAGCAACGTGGTATTAAATGTGCGTGCACTGCTCTTATAGTTCACACATGCCAAATCCTAATTAAGTCAGGATGTCACATCGATCAATTCCCCCAGTCTCTTGGGCCTCCAAAACACTGCTGGCTTGAGCTCTACTAATAGTTATATCTAATACTCGAACAAGCTGTAAGACTGTCTGACCACACTTAGGCCTAGGAACGGATATAGGAGTAGGGTAGTTAGGGCTAGAGCCTCTACTCCTTAGCCTAAATACCCATTGAAATTGTGATTTAAAATTTGAAAACAATTAAAAGATAAAAAGATAAACTAATGTAAATTATACTAGTTCAGCCCTACTTTTGAGAAAATTTTAGCTCCGTCACTGCTTGGGGCAAGGGCTGGGCAGCATCACCGATTTTTTCACACCCAAAAGTGAAAACAGGAAACACCAGAGATTTCCCCTGAAAAAGAAAAAAAAACACAGTAGAGATTTGGGCCGAGGTTGCGCTGGATGCGGCCTTATTCGGGCCGAGTTTGTTGTACAGTCTGCCCTTTTATAGGGGAATAAGTTCATCTGAGATCCCTTAACTTGTCAACGAACCCAATTTTCATTCCTCAACCGGAAATCCAGACACAACGAGTCCCTCAACTATTCAAACCGGTGCAGATGAGGTCCCTCGACGGTTTTGAGGCCGGTTTTGGCTGACATGGCGCCTACGTGGCTGATTTGATTTGGTCTTCATCTGACGTGGCACTGACGTGGCGCTTAAGTGGCAATTTGATCCGGAAAAATAATAAAACCCATGGGACCCACATGTCAATTTCACACACAAAATAATAATAATAAATGGTGGGACCCACGTGGGCCCCATATGTCATCCTCACTCCTCCCTCCTCTCTCTCTCTCTCTATCCTCTCCCTTCTCTCTCTCCGGCCGATGGAGCGGGGCCAGCGGCGGCTGGTAGAAGCGGGAAACGGGCGGGGCGGAGCGGCTGGCCGGCGGATCGGGGCGGGCAGCGGCCGGTGCAGCGGCGAGGCTGGATGCGGCGGTGCGACCTGGCGACTGGGCCGAGGCGACGGCGGCGCGAGCCTTGGCGATGGCGGTCGGGCGCCAGTCGGCCCAGTGCGGTAGCGGCCTGAGGGAGCCCAGGCAGTGTCAGGCGAATGGGGAGAGAAGGCCGGCGCGAGAGCCAGCCACGCCGGCCGGCGAAGTTGTATGCGGCAATATGGGGAGGAGCAGAAGACGAAGTGGCTGGACGCCGTCCATGGCGGCTAGCCGGCTAGGGTTCACTGTGTCCGGTGGCGAGAGGGGAACACGAGAGTGGTAGGAATGGATTGACCCGAGAGGCCGAGACCAGAGTGAGTCCACAGTTCTGCACCTGGTTTGCCTTGCCTCTGCTCTGCTCCCTCCAAACTCCAAATTAACAGAGAGAGGCTCTCCGCTTTGCAAATTTTGGAGGAGATGGAGCTCCATCACCATGGAAGCAGCAGCGTCTGAGGTTAGGTACCTACCATTGTCTCCCCCTTCCCTGTTAATCTCTAGTATTAGCCAATGCGCATAAATCTTTCTCTTGCCGGAAAGAGTTCCCACTGTGATGATGATGATTTTTGGCCTGAATTTTGGTTTCTGCTTCTGTTCTTCAATTTTTTTTTCTCATATCGTTGTGCTTATCTAAGACCCACATTGCTGCTCTTCTCGAATCGCTTTTTTTCTTCCCCACTTTGGATTTGAACTGAATCTTGAGGAGTTTTAGCATTGTAGGAATTGAATCTCCAGAGTTCCTGCAGAAACTCAAAACATGCAGGTTCTTATAGCAAATCAATACAACAGTTCTAGTGAGTTGTGTCTTTGAATTTGTTCTTCAGGCAAGGCAAGCTGCCGCCCAGCCGCCGTCAGCCGGGCACGGCCACGTCGACGCGCCCGCTCCGAGCACCGCCAGCGGCTGCTGTCCTTCCCCCTGCCGCCAAGCTCCCTCCTCACCGCGCCGGCCTTCTCTCCCTCAGGCCTCTGCCGCGCTGGGCTGACTAGCGCCCGACCGCCGTTGCCTCGGCCCGGTCGCCAGGTCGCGCCGCCGCATCCAGCCTCGCCGCTGCACCGGCCGCTGCCCGCCCTGCTCCGCCGGCCAGCCGCTCCGCCCCGGATAGAGAGAGAGAGAGGAGTGAGGAGTGAGGATGACATGTGGGGTCCACGTGGGTCCCACCATTTTTTAATTATTTTATTTGTGGAACTGACATGTGGGTCCCACGGGTTTTATTATTTTTTCTAGACCGAATTGCCACTTAGGCACCATGTCAGTGCCATGCCAGATGAATATCAGGTCAAATTAGCCACGTAGGCGCCATGTCAGCCAAAACCGCCCTCAAAATCACCGAGGGACCTCATCTGCACTAGTTTTGATAGTTGAGAAATCCGTTGTGTTTGGTTTTTCGGTTGAGAGACGAAAATCGGATTCGTTGACAAGTTAAGAGATCTCAGATGAACTTATTCCTTTTATAGGTGGAGCGAAACGAAACAGAAGGCAAAGTGCTCTCTCTACATACCAGTTCGAACCTGCGAGCTGCGACTCTGCGTGGTGAGGAATTCTTCAGACTTGGATGGCGAGGACCAGAACCAACCAAGGAAGAATTTAGAATTCCAAAATCGGTCGAGCCGGACGGTTGCGTGCTCCCGTGCGCCCATTATTCGCGTTGAATGGAATTTCATTTAAGATTTCCGTCATCCGTTCAAGATCGGCTGCAACGCAGGCCTCGATGACCCGATCTGCCGCTGCTGCTGGCCATGCATTTCCCGGGCAGGAGGGAACGAGGAACAAGGAGGAGGAGGTCGCGTGCACGGGTAGCTTCTGCGTGCATCGTGCGTACGTACGCGAGCATCTCTTTTCTGTTTTGTGCGGTCTCCACTCTGCTGTTTCATCGGTACTACGTGCCAGCTAACTCAGTTGTTGCACGTCTCTAGAATTTTTTTTTTTTTTGCAGAATGGAAGTCTTTTCTTCGTGATATAATAATAAGTTCTTTGACAGATTAATTTGCTAGAGGATCTATGCTTGCTCGGTCCACTACTCTAGATAATGATAGTGGAGGCTCTTGACCGCTTGAATGTATGAAAGTATGATGACTTTCTCCCGCACAATTTAATAATGTAGTTTACTCCCTCCGTTCTAAAATAACTTAATTTAAAATGAGATGTGATGTTCAGATTCTTTGTTTTAAGATGAATCATATCTCATTCTCGGTTGAGTTATTTTGAGATGGATAGGGTATATATCTGCTTGGGTTAGTTAATTCCATTCCGATTTGGCACGTGGAATCTAATTACAAAATCCTTGACTTTCCATGCATGCGTAGTCGATTGAGTGCTGTTGCAAGTATTGGGTGGGTCCACTCAAGCTGACCGCTTTTGGCCTGGATATTGGATTTAGGATAAATCCAGTGCTGGATCAGGTCTATTAACAGAGCTATGGTATTCTTAAAAGTTCTTAAGCACTAAGGTTATAGCATGTGGTGTCCAAACCGCTAAGGTTTAAGGATTCGACCTGACTACTGTTCACAGTTAATTTCTTGTTAATGCGCCGTGATAGAGTGGTCATGGTTATTTGTTGGGCGTGTTCGTCCAAATGTATTAATCGCGCGCCATGCTAGTATAACTCAATTAATTTACAACCGTACACGTCCTCGACTGGAATTTGGAAATGTTGGAGAAATCATAGAATTGAACTCCGAAGCATAGTTATATATACTATAGTGTATTTTAAACTCTCGAGGAAACATCCTCTCATTATTTACATGTCACTTAAATAGTCATGAAAGATTTTTAAAAAAATATATTGGCATGTAATATATTACTCAAAAATATGCAAGTTAAAATTTAACATCTACATGTCACAATGAAAAAACAAATTTAACTGTGAATATACATTAACTAGATGTCTAGATATAGTTTAATTTGTTTTTTGGTTGATATTTGTAGAAGTTGAATTTACACTTACATATTTATTGATTGATATATCACATATTAATACATCTTCTTAATTTTTATAGTTAGAATAGTTTCCATAGTTACACGCATAATAACATATGGCTGATCGAACACGTAATTAACCGTGTTTATCTTACTGAAAGTCATCGTTCATATATATCAATTCATAAACCCAGTTGTTTTTACTTATTCAAAGATCGATAACATAAACTTATCCTCGTTTGCGCGTGCAAACTTATTCTTAGGTACGTATATCACGGTTACATCCACACATGCATCGATCATACAAATCCCAAGATCATCAGAGATCGATCGATCAGCCGCGCGCGCGCGCGCGCGTTCGATCATGGGCAGAAGACGACCTGGTAGTTGGTGCCGGCCGGGCAAGTGTAGGTGCTGGAGGCGTCGTCCTTGGGGTAGCTGTAGGCGTCCGGGCACAGCCGCTTGAAGAACTCCGAGTAGTTGGTCGGGCCGCAGCTGTTGGCCGCCGATCCGGTGCAGCAGTACCTGTCCTGCCTGAACACCGTGCACGCGTTGTTGCACCCGCCGGGCGCCCTCAGCTCGCTGGGGCACTGCGGCGTGATGGCCGTGGCGCACCGCGGCCCGCCTTTGGGGCACCCGGCGCCGCTGCCGGCGGGGAGGAAGGCCATGGGCACGTTGAAGCCGTCGATGAGGGAGATGTCGAAGAAGTCGAGGTTGTTCCACTGGTTCAGCGCGAACTCGGCCAGGGTGTTGGGCGCCGCGCCGTACGCCGTGCACCGCAGCTTCCCGCCGCAGTCGCCCGTCTGGCACTGCCCGTTGCCGCTGCCGTCGAAACCGCAGCCCGTGCGCGCCCACACGCGCCCGCCCGTCGTCCCGGCCGGCACGTTGATGGTCCACGTCTGCCCCGGGTCGAGCTTCGTGCCGCCGCCCGATGGCACCGCCGCCGGCCACACCGTGTACTGGCACCTGTTGGTGATGGCGAATGTCGCGGCGTCGGCGATGGAGACGGCGACGAGGAGGAAGAGAGCGAGGGTGGAAGAGGTGGCGAGGGAAGGCGCCATGGCTTTGGTCTTTTTGGTCAGAAGAGGACGGCTTTGTTGTTTGAACTTTGAAGTGGGCAAGGATCGAGCTAAGCTGCGGGTGGATATTTGTAGGGTTGGGTGGAGTGCAATTGCATCTCTTGATTTGGCATTGCCAACGTGCACTACTTAAATTGTATTATCCATGTGTAATTGGCCATCGCTGTGGTCTTTTCCGTCAGAAGAGCTGAAGAGGAGGGCTTTGCCGCTTGCAGTAAGGATTGAGGAATCTGCGGCCTATAGGGTGGACAATTTATAGGGCTCAATTTCGTATTCCCAAAACAAATCGCACCCTCGAATTGGCATTAGCAACGTACATTGCTATTTTATTACGAGTATTAGGGTGTTGCTCTTCCGGGTCCAGATCCCCCTAGAGTTAGCTACAACTCCACCAGGTGGATTTGACTAAATCCATACCATCAATTATTTCCTATGGCTAAGATGAAGCCACTTATTAACTTGTCCTAATTAACTCCCTCAATCACATATGCTTGAATGAAAATTACTTACCTTTTCTTCCTTTTTATGTTCCTAGTGAGTATGTTTCTGCCAACAACATTAACAAAGTATGCACGCTCTCTTCTCCAAATAAGAAGCTATGGTCATGTATAAAAAACTATGTTAAACATTTAGTACGTGCAAACATACATAAACCATATACACACAAAAATGTTGCTAAAATATTATAGCCACAAAGCCCAATACGATTTTTATACTGTGGATGAACCATGAAATTTCTAGGTTATGCAAGTAAAATCAGTTTGTATATTCTCTAGATATATATATAGTATTCGTTAGATTTGTTACAAATATTAAGATGCAGAAAAAAAACTATTAGGAATTAGTTACTTCATCCCAACCATTCTTATATAGAGATGACAGAGATTTCATCAAATCCTTCGGATGGAGTTGGAGTGAACTCCAAAGCATCCCCACCCGTACTCTTCCCTTTCCATTCCCAACTCATATTTCTTGTTTTTCGCGTGCATGTTTTTTTTAAAAAAAAATTCTATCTGAAAGTTGATTTCAGAATCGTATTATTTTATTTTTTTTAAGTTGTGTTTGCTAATACTTAATTAATCATACATTAATAAGCCACCACATTTCCGTGCAGAACACAATCTTAGAGTGTTTATCTCTTCTCTACTATTATAAAAATTTGAGATATTTTTATCAAAATTTTGGTGCGTAGTCTGTGTTTGATTTGATTTTTAGCTGGTTGTAAGTCGCTTGTATCAAATTTGATCGATGTGAATCTAAAATAACTATCACACACCCCTTCCCAGCTCAACTCAACCCAACCGACCCAACCATCCCGCCATTCTGTCGTCCACGCCTATACCGTAACTCGGATTGGATTGTGCTTATTCCGCAGCAACTTCAAGCCTCGCGTTTCTCCGTAAAAGGGCATAGTCTATCCCCACTTCCACAACCCCCACCTTAGGTCTTAGGTCTTGTTCGGTTAACTAGCATGGTGGCCCGCGCAGATTGCGCGGCTAGCATCATTATGTTTTCTCTTATATAATAGCATATATGTTTTCTCATTATATTATTAAAATATATTACAATGACAACATAATTTTAAATTTTGTAATAACTCTACGAAACTACTAATGTGTAATATTAATATTGTATTTTATATACGTGTTAGTTATTAATTATTTTTAATATCAAATTTTAGTTATTTGTAAATTATATATATTCCTATATGGACTCTAGACTCGTATTTTAATATTTCTTTTTTTTTAATTCTGAATTTTTATTATTTCTAATTGTATTTCTATGTGGACTCTAAACTCATCTTTCAATATTCTTTAATTTTTAATTTCAAATTTCAGTTACTTCTAAATTGTATTTCTATATTGACTTTAAACTCTTCTTCCCATGTTTTTCTTAATTTCAAATTTTAGTTATTTGTAAATTATATTTTTATATGGACACTAAACATTATTTTCATTTTATTATGTTTATTCCGAATTTTAGTTAGTTTTAAATTCCTATATGGACTCAATACTCTACTTCTAATATTCCTTATTTTTTAATTCTAAATTTCTATTTTTTTCTTAATTGTATTTCTATATGGACTCTATACTCTACTTCTAATATTCCTTATTTTTAATTCCGAATTTCTATTATTTCCTAATTGTATTTGCTTTATACTCTACTTCTAATATTCCTTATTTTTAATTCCAATTTCAGTTATTTCCTAATTGTATTTCTATATGGACTCTAGTCTCCTCTTCTAATATTCCTTATTTTTTAATTCCGAATTTCAACTATTTCCTAATTGTATTTCTATATGGACTCTAGTCTCCTCTTCTAATATTTCTTATTTTTTAATTCCGAATTTCAGCTATTTGTAAATTGTATTTCTATATAAACTCATATTTCAATATTCTTTAAATTTTAATTTTAAATTTCAGTTACTTCTAAATTGTATTCCTATATTGACTTTAAACTCTTCTTCCCATGTTTTTCTTAATTTTGAATTTTAGTTATTTAGAAATTATATTTTTATACGGACTCTAAACTCTACTTTTAATTTTATTATATTTATTCCGAATTTTAGATAGTTTTAAATACCTATATTTTTTAATTCCGAATTTCAGTTATTTTCTATTTGTATTTCTATATGTACTCTAGTCTCCTCTTCTAATATTACTTATTTTTTAATTCCGAATTTCTATTTTTTTTCTTAATTGTATTTCTATATGGACTCTATACTCTATTTCTAATATTCCTTATTTTTAATTCTGAATTTCTATTATTTCCTAATTGTATTTATATATGAACTCTATACTCTACTTCTAATATTCTTTATTTTTAATTACAAATTTCAGTTATTTCCTATTTGTATTTTTATATGGACTCTAGTCTCCTCTTCTAATATTTCTTATTTTTTTAATTCTGAATTTCAACTATTTCTGAATTGTATTTCTATATGGACTCTAGTCTCCTCTTCTAATATTCCTTATTTTTTAATTCTGAATTTCAGCTATTTCTAAATTGTATTTCTATATGGACTCTGTTTTTTCTTTTTCTCCGATTAATGTGAGAATTTCTAGGCCATGAGAGCGAACGTGGAGGCTCCTTTTTCTATCCTTTTTATAATATAATAGATAGATCCTTGTGAGAGAGAGATTGGAAGGGATTTATTCCACACCTATTATGGTGTGAAAATATTCTCCATCAATCCCCTCTAATCATTTTCAATCCCCTTTAAACCAAACAAGGTATTAGGGATGTTGAGATGCTCTGGACCCATCGTTGGAGCGCGGCGTGCAGGCCACCCCTGCCGCGCGTGCAGCTCCGGTAGCATATTCAGCGGTGGCGCCATCTACGAGCTCTGCCACAATCCCACAGAGCGCGGAGACGCATGGACCTCCTGATTGTGCATTGCAAAATCCTCGCCGCTGGTAGTGTTCGTTTTCTTCCTCAACAGGAATAGGTTTCGTCCGTCGTTGTTTTGTCTTTGATTCCAATTCATCTTCGGGTGTCCACGCTAGGGCACGGGCCATAGCAGTAGGCCAGTAGCAGGTTGCCGCCGTTGAAAAAAAACTACTACGTCTGTTTCAAGTTACAAGACGTTTTGACTTTGATCAAAATCAAACTATATCAAGTTTGACTAAGTTTATAAGCAAATATAGTAATATTTATAATACCAAATTAGTTTCATTAAATCAATAATTGAATATATTTTTATAATAAATTTGTCATGGGTTGAAAATATTATTATTATTATTTCTATAAACTTAGTTAAATTTAAAATAGTTTGGCTTTGATCAAAGTCAAAACGTGTTGTAACCCGAAACGGGTAGTAGGACATATGCCAGCGCCATAAAGCAAGCTACGGATCTCGCCTCGAAGCGGTTTCCGGCTTTCCGCCGGCTCAAGAGGGTGCGCTGGTGCAGGAGCGCAGGACACGGCTCGGGGATGTCAACGAGGGTGGCGGCAGATGGCGAGGATTATGGTCAGGCTGGAGGAGCGTGCGTGCTGAACCGGAAAAGATAACCACCGTCGCCACCTCGTAGTTTGATAGGGGCAAGGGCCGCACGCGCGTGCGCATGCCGGAGACGGATCGTAGCCGTGCTGCTGCATACGCCGCGCCGCTGTGATCTCAGATATGTGTCGCGGTGCGGTGCGGCTGGTCCCAATCCAAGGAAAGAAGGGTGCAAACTCCACGTGAGGTCAGTGTGTGAGACGTTGAACTCCTTATCCTGATGCGATATTCATAGTTTGCCCCAAGGTAATTTTGTGGTTCTGAATTATTTCTTTTTTTTTTACTTTTCCATGATAGAATATGTGGTCTTTTTCCAAAGGCAAGATGCAACGGTTTCCGCAAGTGAATGATGCACTTCCATCCCCAGATGCTGGTGCTGGTTGCAAATGCTGGCAATCTGTTGCTTGGTAAGGGGTCTTTTGCTCTTTAAAAATGCTGAACAACTCTTGATTGTGCATGCTATGGTAAAAATTCCTTCAGGGTGATGATGTTTCTTTCTTTCTCTCTCTCTCTAACAGAAATACATTCTTCATTTTTAAAATTTTGGGGAGCCAGAAGAGAGACGAGTACATAGTTGAATAGTAATCAGAGAAAAACAGTAGCCTGGGGAGGGAGAGCCTCTCCCGCAGTTCATAGAGGGTTTCCAAATCTAAATTGCTAGAAAAGGAACCTGGTATGAAAGTTTAATGAAAACGAGATAAGAAACATCTCTGTTTGATCTTTCTGCATTCCTTCGTTGAATTGTTGTCCAAAGGGAGCACGACATGGCCATGTTGTCGAGCAGCAAGAGCAACGTGACAATCTCCACGCATTACCTCAGATCCTCCGATGGTCCAACCATACCTTAGCATGGTCGTGTACCACGTCGACCACTGCTCTTCATCCAAATGTGCTGCCACCTATTCCTCACGGCTAGCTCGAAGTCGTGTCTGAGCACGATCCAGCTCTACATAGCGGAGCACGAATTTGCCCGAGTGCAAATCCTGATCGAGTGCTTCTACCACCTGTCAGCTTTGAGCTTCGTCCGTACCGTCTTCACCCATCACAACACATGGGTATTCTCTTCCCAACCAATAACAACCCTCCACTATTCACTTTTCTCACCAACCTCCACTACTCATCCAATAATAGCCCTCTACTACTTACTTCTACCTACCTTTTTAATAACCATGTCCAACTCTAAAACTTCTTATATTCTGGGACGGATTGAGTAATAAATTAACAAAATCAACAAACCAAACAATTTGAACCACAGCAGGCAAATCAGTGCGATTCCTTCACCTGACGAGATCCCGACCGAAAATTCACACAAGGATAGGTGTAAAACCGCAAGAATGTGGCAAGGGACTAATGGGTGCAACTGCAAGCACACACTTGGAAACCCAACAATAGAAATCATGTATCAAGACCACGAACAGACTTGCAGACATCAGAGTATAACCAGCCAGACCAAAAACTTTGAACACCACTCCTCTTAAAAGACTTCATTCCTTCCAACATGCAGTACTAACTTGTCGTCTCACCATCTCTTCTGTTCGTCAGGAGGTCGCCATCGAGCTAACACAAACATCTTGTCAGTTCATGAACGGTTCAACAAGGAAAACATGAAAATTGATAATGACACGATATGAGAAATAATTGTTACCTCAGCGAAAGACTTCAATATCACCAGACAACCGTACTGATAAAGTGATAAATCTTCTGGTACATTTACGCACATGAAATAGACCAACCTATTAAATAAAAAAAAACATTTATCGTTAAGAGTTGTAATCAATAACAAGTGTACGAAAACAATATGTACAAGAAGTGGAATGGATGCCTCACAAAAAAGGGGGCAGGTGATCTCTCATATATATATATATATATATATATATATATATAACTGAGTTACAATGAATGCTAGAGAGTTAAAAAAAACAAAGGTCTAGGAGATTAACTATCTAGGAGATAAACAGCCTATAGAGTAATAAATAATCCTAATACCCGCCCGCAGTCGCAACGGGAGGATGACGAACGCAAAGACTGGACTGAAATTCAGTAAATAACTGAACTGGTAAGCCTTTGGTCATGATGTCCGCGAACTGGTGTGATGAAGGAACATGAAGCACCCGAATTTGTCCCAAAGCCACCTTCTCACGGACAAAATGGATGTCAATCTCAATATGCTTCGTCCAGCGATGATGCACAGGATTCGTTGTCATGTAAACAGCGCTCACATTGTCACAATAGACGATAATAGCCAAAGCAACCGGGACATGAAGTTCCTGGAGCAATTGCCGCAACCGGCAGCACTTGGCGACGGCATGGGCAACAACACGGTACTCCGCCTCAGCACTGGAACAGGAGACAGTAGTTTGGCGCTTGGAGGACCAAGAAACCAAATGTCTCCAAGGAAGAGACAGTAGCTGGACGTAGAACAACAAGAATTGGCACAACCCGCCCAATCCGCATCGGAGTATGCTGTCAGGGACTGAACCGGTCCGGAGCCGATGTGGAGGCTGGTGGAGACTACCCTTCACGTAGCGGAGGATACGCCTGAACAAGGCGAGATGCTCCCGCGGATCATGCATGAAGAGGCAGACCTGCTAAACGGCATATGCCAAATCCGGGCGAGTCAGCGCGAGGTACTGTAGGACGCCAGCGATGCTCCTGTACTCCGAAGGGTCGGCAACGGGCAAGCCGTCAGTGGTGGAGAGCTTGGCACGAGTGTCCACTGGTGTCGAGGTAGAGTGGCACTCGGCCATGCCGGCCCGCTGGAGAAGATCCACAGCATCTGGCGTTGCGAGAGGAAGAGGCCGCCAAAGGAAGGCGTGACGGAGACGCCGAGAAAGAAGTGGAGGGCACCAAGGTCTGTCATGGCAAACTCGGTGTGAAGGCGCGCCGTAAGCTGCTGAAGTAGTGGTGTGGTGGAAGCAGTGAGGATGATGTCGTCGACGTAACAGAAGATAGGCAATGTGATCTCCATCTTTGTAAACAAAGAGAAATGTATCAGACGCTGAAGGCATAAATCCCATCTGTCGAATGTACATGGCGAATCGTTAGTACCACGCACGGGGAGCCTGCTTCAGACCATACAGGGACTTCTGTAACAGACATACAGCATCAGGGGCAGCAGGGTCAACAAACCCAGAGGGTTGCTGACAGTAGACGGTCTCCTTGAGCTGACCATGAAGAAACGCATTCTTCACGTCCCAGTTGATGAATCGGCCAAGCACGGGATGCAGCAATGCTGAGAACCCGTATTGTGGCCGGCTTGACAACCGGACTAAATGTCTCGTCTTAGTCGATGCCGTGCTGCTGTGAATAACCACGGACCACCCAACGGGCCTTGTGGCGGGCAAGGGAGCCATCAGAGTGGAATTTGTGCTTGAAGATCCACTTGCCCGTAACAACGTTGGCCCCAAGGGGGCGAGGAACGAGGCGCCAAGTGCCGTTGTCGACCAAAGCCTTGTATTCATCGGCCATAGCAGTACGCCAGTTGGGATAAGCCAACGCGCTGCGATAGTTGGCCGGGATAGGAGAGACGGTGGCGTGGGTAGCTGTGTAGGTCAGCCGGTCGACCGGCCGCAGGGAGCCAGTCTGGGAGCGCGTCACCATGGAATGCAGCTGTGGAGCAGCAGCCGTCGCAGTCACAGTGGCTGAAGATGATGACTGGACCATCGGGGCAGGGCGACGGGTGTACACATGGTGGAAGGGTGACACGATGGTGCCGGCTCAGGTGGCACCGGCCAAAGGGGCAGTGCCGGCCAAGGAGGCACCGACCGAGGGGGCACCAATGGCATCGTTGACCGCGGTGACCGTGCCGTCCGGCAAGCGGCGGCCGAAGAGGGGGAAGGTACGGTTGCTCAACCTCCACGGAGGGAGCCACCGTAAGGGATCGCGGTTGCTCGGGAGCCACTGTGAGTGGTTGCGGTTGCTCGACCTCTGAGGAGGGAGCCTCCGTGAGTGGTCGCGGTTGCTCAACCTCGGAGGAGGAAGCGACTGCTGGAGGGAATCCCTGTAACAAAAAATCAAAAGACGAGGCAGCAGTGGGAGTCGCCGCAAAGGGAAAGCGGGATTCGTCGAAGACGACGTGGTGCGAAATGATGATGCGGCGAGTGGAGAGATCCAGACATCGGTATCCCTTGTGGGAGGCCGGGTACCCAAGAAAAACGCAAGCTGTTGAACGAGGGGCAAGTTTATGTGGAGTCGTGGCACTCAAGTTTGGGTAACAAAGACAGCCAAAAACCCGAAGATGGGAGTAGTCTGGAGTGGTGAGATGTAGGAGCTGGAAAGGCAAGGAGTGGTGAACGGAGGAAGAGGGTCTCCGGCTGAGAAGGTAGGTAGCGGTGGCGAGAGCCTCAGCCCAGCAGGACGGAAACATGGAAGCCTGGATAAGAAGGGTGCTTATGGAGTTGTTGATGGTGCGGAGCATCCGTTCGGCTTTACCATTTTGGGGAGAGGTGTAAGGGCAGGAGAGTCGTAGCTGGGTGCCACGATTAGTGACAAAGGAAGTGGTGGCGGTATTGACAAACTCTCCGCCATTATCAGCCTGAAGGGATTTGAGCGGTAAGCCAAATTGGGTGGAAACATACTCGGCAAACTCAACAATATGACGATGAACATCAGATTTGTGTCGGAGTGGAAACGTCCAACAGAAATGACTGAAATCATCAAGCACCACAAAGTAATATTTAAAACCCGAAGTACTCAACACCGGAGATGTCCACACATCGCAATGGACAAGCTCAAAGGGAATGAAAGTGCGAGACAAAGACCTATCAAAAGGTAATCAGGTATGTTTGCCTAACTGACACGCATGACAAAGAGAGGTGTCTATTTTATTATAGGAAATGGAGGACATATTCCGAAGACTCTGGATGGTGGCTGCACTAGGATGACCGAGTCGACGGTGCCAAAGTGTGGATAAAGTGGCGAGGGAGCAGTGGGCGCTGGAGGGAGTGGCAGCTGGAAGGGTGTAGAGTTCCCCGTGGCTATTGCGGCGAAGAATCACGCGCCGGGTCAGAAGGTCCTTAACAGAGAAACCAAATTCATCAAACTCAATGGAACATTTATTGTCACGAGTAAACTGACGAACGGAAAGTAAATTACGAACTAAGGAGGGGGCGACAAGGATGTTTTTAGTGCAAATTTGGTGGTGCCTATGGGAAGGAATGAAGTGCCACGACAAATAACGGGGATGGTGTGACCATTTCCAACAGTAATAAAAGTGTGGGAGTTAGGCAATCGAGTAACGAGGATACCGTCAGTAGAGGACATGAGATGTTGCGCCAGTGTCCAAAACCTAGTTGTTTGGGCTTTGGAAGGCCATCTGGTTCAAGGATTCAATGAGGCCAGCTTGCTCCCAATTGGGCTAGCCTGGAGGAACAGATGTGGGCGACATCGATGGGCCAACGAAAGTGGTGCTCGCCTGAGTAGTGGGCCGCCGGAGCCGGCCCAAGAAGGCCGGGCCCTGGGTCTGGCTAGCCTGGAGGAACAGATGTGGGCGACATCGATGGGCCAGCGAAAGTGGTGTTCGCCTGAGTAGTGGGCTGCCGGAGCCGGCCCAAGAAGGCCGGCCTGAGAGTAGTGGGCCGAGTGGGGTGGCCACGCTGGTTGCTGGGCCGGCCAAGGGTTAAAACAGACCCAGGGCCCGGCCGGCCTCCAGCTAGGGTTGGCCACCCCCTGGTAGCCACCGCCACCAGCAGGAGGAAGCGGGCAGCCGCTGCCACCACCCCCACTGCCGCTACCCCATCCGCCTCCAGTTCCGGCCCCTCCATTCCCGCCACCGATCCAGCTGCCATTGCCCTTGCCGCTGCGGCGGCTGTTGTTGCCGCCAGTGCATGCTTGACCTCCGGAAGAAGCGCAGCCGCCGGGAGGGCAAGAGGAGCCGGAGCCCGAGCTGGCGCCGGTGACCAGCGCCGTCGCCGCGGCCACCTTGGCCTGGTTGGCGATGCGCAACTCCTTCAACAGGAGGGTGTTGAGCGCCGATGTGAAGCTCGGGAGGACGTCCGCGCTTGCGATCTGATCGGCGGTGTTGGAGAAGCGGTCGTTTAGTCCTCGGAGAAGGTTGAGCACGAGTTGGGACTTGGAGACGGCGTGGCCGACATCGCGAAGGGCGTCGGCGGCTGTCTTCATCTTCTGGCAGTAGTCGGCAATGGAGGAGTCCCCTTGAAGCATGGAATGAAATTGGTGGCTGAGGAAGATCGCTCGGGGTTCTTTGTTAGCGTGAAACATGTCCTCGATGGCGACCCAGAGCTCCCGAGCGGTCTGATCTAGCTCCATGGCGAGGTCAACGACGTTGTCCGTAACTGATCCGAAGATCCAACTACGGATGCAGCAGTCGGCCTGTTCCCAGGCCGGGTCGTCAGGGCGTGGAGGAGCGGAGCCGTCGATGTGAGCCATCAACCCGAACTTGCCGCACAGGGAGGTGAAGAAGGCCCTCCATTTGTTGTAGTTTGGGTGGTTGTTCTCCAGGGTGATGGGGACGTGTGATTTGACGGCGACGGTGGCGTAGGGATGAAGAAACTCGCTAGTGATGTTGGAAGAGGATCCACCACTGGAGGATGATGAGGTAGAGGACTGAGTGGATTCAGTTGACATGGTGGAGAACACAGTTGCGACGACGACGTGCTAGAGCAGAGGAAAAGAAGGTAAGGGCCTATGCTCTGATACCATGTAGAAGAAGTGGAATGGATGCCTCACACACAAAAGAGGGTAGGTGATCTCTCATATATATAACTGAGTTACAATGAATGCTAGTGCTGAGTTACAATGAATGCTAGAGAGTTACAAAAACCAAAGGTCTAGGAGATTAACTATCTAGGAGATAAACAGCCTATAGAGTAATAAATAATCCTAATACCAGTATATGGTTTTAAGTGTATTCATTAAGTACACGGAAATTTACCTTGATATCAACCTTAGAGCTGGAGTCGTTACCCTCCTCAAGATATCTCTCACCAATACTGAGCAATATATTCTCCAACTAACACAAAAGGATTGAGTCAAATTTGTATTAAATAAACTAATGCACATGCTACCTATACTTTATGCCTTTTTGTTTGAAAGAGCTAATTTAGATTTTGAAATATTCAAATAAAGTCTTAAGGATGTCAATTGCTACCTGGATTATACTTGAAATGCTTTCTCCCTGGAGAGAGAGAGAATAATATCCCCAACTCGAATGCCAAGTTTCTCAGCAGCACATTCAGCTGAAACCTAAAATCAATCCAGAAATAATACAATATATACATGAAAATATTATATTATATACACATAAATATAAATAGATGTCATAAATAAAAAAGTTACCTCTCCTACAATAAGACCAGAGGTAATATTGTATTTACGAGACAGCAACTCAATAAGCGTCATCTCTTGAAAATCCACTGTTTTAAACTTCAAACCAAGCTGAGGTCGAACAATTTGCCTATATGAAATTATTAGACTATTAAATTTATTTTATATAAGATAATTATATCTAAAGTGAAATATTATACACAAAAAAAAACAGCAGTTGATGTGTTTTCTGTAAACATGATGGTCAGATGGTAATAATTACTAATTTATACTAGCTGCTGAATGCCACTTGGTTGCTACAGATGGCATAATCATACCACATAATAAGTCCAATATACAAGAATTATAGTGTATCACATGTTTAGGGTTGTAGAAGTGCATGCCTAAAACATATAAATACATTTCACTTTGCATCTCAGTCAGTACTTGTTGATGTTGAATAGAGGCCATTACAAACCTATCCCCACATTCTTAACCTGAATCTAACAGTCTCACACCTATCATTCTTAATTCAGCACCTCACTTGTATGTATCTGTCTGTGAATTCTACCGTACATTTGGTTTTGAGAGCAAATGGACAGAGGTATTGTGCATATGCATATTAAGTTGGCACTCATTTTTATATTATATAAAATATAACATACTGTACAGGTTTAAATGTAAACTTGTTGAATGGAAGGGAAATAGTTTGTGCTGGCAGCATAAGTGCATATCTCAAACTAATGTCCTAAGTTTCTGAATTAAGCAAGTGTATATAGCCAACTAGGATGAACAAAAATAAAAATGCCTACCCAAACTTCTTCCACAATCTTAGGCACGTGAGGATCAGGGAGCTCGGTAGGAATGCAACCATGGGCAAGGTGCAGAATAACATCCCAACAGTGTTTCCACTGAAATCTGCCAATGCACCTCCAGTACCACACTGCAAGCAAAATTTAAATACCACATTGAGATTATAGACAAGTGCAACTAACTATTTAGAATTTAAAATTTTAAATACCATCATTACCTTGGGAATGGAACCACCAATGAACATATAGTGATTGTGTTGGTGCTCATACGGATCTAAGTACTTCACTTTGACTGTTGTGCAAATCAAATCTATATTTATGTCTCTGGTGAGCACACAGAAATCCTGGCCATATTCCAAATCAGATTTCAATGGCATAATCGGTATAGTTAGCCCTCCTACAGTTTCAAATAAGGCAATATCGAAATGCTTGCTGAAGTACAGCAATCGACACACTGAGATCGTGTCATCCAACATGTGAACAGTGACCTAAAATAATAAATAAATAAAAAGAGTAGGTTAAAAACACTTAATGTGGAAGATATATCACTTATACTATTATGAGCTATACAGTTTGCATGTTCATTTCTTTTACAAATATAGTAAAGCAAACAACACCAAGCAGGATAGAGCATATATGGAGCATGTGACATGTCTGAGTTTAATAATAAAGGAGCACCAAATATACATGGAGCATGTCTGAGTTTAAGAATCAAGTAACACCAAGCATATATGGAGCATGTTCGAGTTTGAGAATCAAGAAACACCAAGTATATATGAAGCATGTCTGAGTTTAAAATCAAGGAACACCAAGCATGAAGTAAGTTAACCATGTGGAGAATACTAAGTGCCTGGCTGTTTCCGTGGATTATTAAAATCAACAGGGGGAGTCCTTTGTATTGTATATACAATGCTCCTACACTAATACAGTTCTCAATAACTAATGATCCCAAAGGTCAGGTCAGCTCTAAAAGACACTAGTTTCATGTCTATGCTAATTCTGCACAAAAGATTCTCCTCTAGTTTAATTGTTGATTCTGCATGTAAGATTTTACTATCAAGATTCACGACTGATTCTGCAATCTGCATGGAAGATTTTGGACGTTGTTCATGTGAAGCACTATTCTACCATACAAACACATGGCTAGCTAACATAAGAAATAAAAGATCTTTATTATGCTGGGTACTTTATATAACCTTGTACAGCAAGTAGAGTCAATGTCTAAGCTTTAAGGTAATGTGCAATTATGCAACCAACAAACCAGGGTAGAACATCCCAAAGTTTAAGATCAGGTCATCTCTCAAATATACTCTAGTTTAATGGCTAGGCTAATTTTGAAGATGATTTTCCTTCAGTTTCATGATTGATTCTGCATGCAAGACTCAAGTTTCATGACCGATTCTGTGATCTGGATGGAAGCTTTTGGATGTTATTCGTGTGAGGCACTAATCTGCCATGCAAACACCTGGCTGGCTAACATATTCAATAAAAGATTTTTGTGTCGGGTACTTTACATAAACATAAACAACAAGTAGTGTCGTTGTCTAAGCTTTAATGCAACTATCCAAGCAGCAACCAGGATAGAACATCCCTTTAGCAGAATTGAATTAAAAATCAAGGAACATATCAATAAGTAAACACGAAGTAAACTCTGTGAACAAAGAGAGCAGCTAGACAGACTGCAAATATGATGCGTAATTTGGATAGAATTAATAATGCATAAAACACAGCAACACAAATAAATGTTGGAGAGACTAAAAATGTGCTTGATTGGCGGGGATCAAGATGGATTGGGTGATACAATTAGCTTGTTTGTTTGGCTGGATAGACGATAAAGTACTTGCAATAAATTTTTGGTCAAGTGAAATTTTTAATTATGTATAATATGTATCGTGTAATCAAATTTTGTATAATTTCTATGAAAATAAATTTATAGAGTATTTTTGTCTTTGGCAGTAATATCCGCTAAATTTTGTTGCCTCTTGTATGCATATACTCCCTCCATCCACAAGAGTTAGACATATTACTTTTGTCACCAAAACCAAGAAGAAATTAACTCATCTTACATGTAACAAAGAACTCATCTTACATGTAACAAAGATCAAGGAGCCTATGCATGCATGCATGCAACCAATGAGTATTAAAATGGCTCATTAGGTTTCGATTAAACATTTAATTTATCTCTTCATTTAAGTCTTAGATACATGAAAACTACAAATATGACCAACTTATTTGGAAAAAAACAAAATATAGAATAAGTCTAACATTTGTGGAAGGAGGGAGTACATTTTTTTCTCATAAGTGAGGTACTGAGGTACGATTTTCTTTTGCAGGTAGTTGTGACATAGTGAGAAGCAACATTAACGAGTAACCTCCTTTTCTTCCTAAGCTTCCCAACTTATCGACCTATATGACCAACACGCAATGCAAGAAAAGATTGTTTTTTTCCTGTATAAAATGTAATCTAAAGGTTATTTCTAAGTTCTAACTTAGGACCAAAAACCTGTGTGCAAATGCACAGATGAACAATCAAAAGAAATAGATAGCAACATATACAGGGCAATGGCGGGTGGCACACAAGGTGAGAAGGGGAGGTAGCTATGGCACACAAGGTGGATACAAACACGCAAGGGGTTAGGAGCAACAGCATCTATGCACTGTGTCATTGTTTTTTTTGGGAGGGGGGGAGGTTGAGACAATTCTGCATCTAGAGAGAATATCCCCTAAAATTAGAACTTAAGCAACAAAATGCATGGAACATCATTAAAAAACTGGATGTGACCATCCTATTCATGCTAACACCTCCAACTAAGCAAACAAAAATGTTATAGCTAGGAGCATGTTGAGATTGAAGTGTTCTACCTTAGCCTCAGGAGCATAATCTTTATGCGACCAATCATCAAAAGGTTTCTTTATGCAAATGAGCCAAGCAGAAGTTAAAATGATAGCAGAATTCTTCACTTCATCGCACTCGATAATTATACCAGTTCCCTGATTAATCTCTCTACCATCTACATATACACAAAAGAAGTTAGCTAAAAAGCAACCGACACTACCATCAAATAAAAAAGATTAGTCGAAGAATATATAATACCGTGATAAGCTGAAAGGCTCACGATGGATTTGGAAGCATTTATTTGTGTTTTCTTCTGCTCGGGATTATAGTGTTCAATAGCAGCAGAGATTGACGACCTTACTGTCGGTAATAGTTCCTGGCGTGCTATAACAAAGACATGTGAAATTCGGTGAGCTTGAATAATTTTTCAACAAATTGCACGTTGCGCTTGGTAGTATTATCACTTTGTATTAAAATGTGTCACATAACACCAGGATAAATCATCAAACCTATAGAAATTTCATAAATTCTGAACGAAACTTCATGAAATATGGTCTAAATTTAAGAATTCCATAAGTTTCAATCATATTTTACAATATCACTCCAATTTTGTGAAGCAATCTGGTGCATAGTAGAACTTATATACCCTGGTGTAAAGCGAAAGCATAAACTAAGCCTGGTGCACAGTTAAATAAGGTATGCTTTACCCAGTGCAAGTGCAATTTACACACAATTTTTTGCAGGTAATTCCAATTTTGTTTTGCTAGTTTATCCTACTACTAAAGGACAGCATACAACTTATACCTTTCAACTTGGATACCATAAGGCAAACCTTGGAAAGTTTTTTAATACTAGAGCAGACTGTGGATTGATGCAGTTCAGCCTTACATTAAAATAGTACTTGGTGTAATTATTGTGCTTATCACAATTTTGGTAAAAACAGACGGACAAAAAGCGTACCTCTCTTGTTCTTGTACTCGTGAAAAGCCCAATGATAGGCTTCTGCAGCTGTGGGATCATCGGTGATGCCATACACCACCTCTCCAGAAGGACTCGTCCACATAGGCACAAGTGGAGCTTGCGGTTCACGCAGCGGAGAGCTGTATGAGGACGACACCGAGCCCAGATGCTCTTGTGCTACCTCTTGCTTCTCTTGGCTCTTGTCCTCGGAGCCGCCTTGACCTCTCTTATTCCTTTTGCCCCGCTTCTTCTTCTTTTTCTTCTTCTTCTTCATGCTCTTCAAGACGTGCAGATTATACTCTGGTTTGCCCTCGGTTGCCTCAGGATATGATGCTTCCCCTGGACGTGATACTTGCACGGAATTGGCTTCCCGAGAGCGAGCAAACCAATACATTTTCTTCTTTGGCAGAGATGGTATCCTCTCCGGGCATGTCCTCTCTTCCCAGGGGAGCTGCTGCAATGACGATGATGCCCTCCCACTCATCGGCGACGATCGTACCCTCTCCGGGCATGCCCCCTCTTCCCAGGGGAGTTGCTGCGACGGCGATGATGCCCTCCCACTCATGGGCGGTGATTGTATCCTCTCCCTCTCCCTCTGTTCCCAGGGGAGCAGCTGCGACGGCGATGATGCCCTCCCACTCGGGGGCGGCGATGGTGTCCTTGCCTGGCACGGCGGCGAAGGGAGGTGCTCCGGGCTTGACTCCATCCCAGTGCCACCAGTCGACTGTAGTTGGCATGGCACAGACGACGGCGGCGGCATACCTGCAAGGGCCCAGAAGGGGTTCTCCCGGTCTTCGTAGTTCGCCGTTCTTCTGGTCCGTTCCCTGGAAATCCACAGCGCCCTGCGCGATTTCATCCTTGCCGGTTCGAAGCGCTCCCGCAGGCCGACGGCAGCGGAGGCGATTCCGGTGGAGGCGGCGGATCGGAGCTCGCACAGGCCGCAGGCCGACAGAAGTGGGATTAGGGTGGAGGCGGCGCTTCTGATGAGTTCGCGCAGCCTGCACGCCGACAGAAGCGGAGGGGATTAGGGTGGAGGCGGCGATTCGGAGATCCCGACGGCCGAAGCTTTACGGCGGCGGAGGGGAGGCCTTTCGGGGTTTTTTTTCCCCCTAGGCAAAGACGAGAAAATTACATACCTAATATCATAGCATTATATAAGGTTGGATTAGCTAGAATAACGTTATTTAAATAGGTTTCGCCGAAATAACCTCCACAACCCGAGCGCCTTCGCCAAAATACTATATTAGACAGAAATACACTTGGATCTTCTTCCTTCTCCCTCCAATGTTCCAATGTCGGAAGAGCTCGCCGGTGGCTCTCCCCGTCAAGCGTCTACCCTTTTTTTAAGCACTACGAGGCATTGAGGCTTATTAGGTATGGGCGTATGGCGGCCTTGTACAAAACGGCGTCCACGTGGGTTGCAGCCACTGAGTTCTTCTCCATGCTGAGTTTGCCAATGATGTTATCGATGTCCTCGGTTACGCCATCATCGACGACAAGGAAAGGGTAAGCGTTGAAGCCGTCCTCGTCTTCGAAGTCAAACTCCCCAAGGTCGTCAACGGTGGCGTCAGCCTCGGGTGTTCGGTCGCCCTGCCTTTGTCTCCACCCATGCTCGCCGCCATCCTCGTCCCTCTTCGCCCCGCCGCCGTCCTCGCCTCCCTCTCCGCCGATGCTTCCACTTTTGTCCCCGCTCTCACCCGTCGTCGTCCTTGTTTTCCCCTCCACCACTGCCTACCTGCCAACGCCCCCACTGCTGCCCTCAGCTCTCCTTCGGCGCTGCCTCCGCTCCCGCCCGCCACCCTGCCTTTGTCTCCGCCCATGCCCGCCACCGTCCTCAGCTCCCCTCTGTCGCTGCCTCCGCCCCGTCGCCGTACTCGGCTACCCTCCCCATTGCTTAAGTGATATAGAGAGAGAGAGAGGAGGTGAGGGAGAGATAAGATAGATAGGATTGGGGAAAGAGATAGAAAGGATGAGAGATTGACAAGTAGGGTCACGGATTTAAAAAAGAATTGCTAACTGGACTACCGCATAGGATCAAAACCACTTTGAATTGAGTTGAGTTGGGAGGTAATTTATCATGTATTAATAGTTGAGAGTGAAAGATACTCCCTTCGTCCTAAAATAAGTGCTGTTCAAGTCCAATGTCTGACCGTTCGTCTTATTTGAAAAAAAATATGATTAGTATTTTATTGTTATTAGATGATAAAATATGAATAGTACTCCATGTGTGACTATTTTTTTTATTTTTTTCATAAATTTTTCAAATAAGACGGACGATCAAAACACTGGACACTGATATCTATGGATGCACCTATTTTGGGACGGATGTAGTATATGATTTTCGGGTCTGAGAAGTTAATTCGTACTCACTCAATAGTTTAGGGACGTAATCCAGACTTTTCCCTTTTTTTGGCTGATGTAGTATGCATTACTATATGGGCGACCACTGGCAACATGGTCCCACGTGCGCGCAACGAAGTAGACAATAGATGGCCATATGACCCGAGGCCCGATAGCCCCGCCCAAAGCACGGCCATTTGGCCCCGGCCCAAGCATGGCATAGCCCAACTAGTGTCAAGCCTGTGCCGGCACGGCCCGACAGTTAGGTCATGCCTAACCCGAGGCATGGCACGATAAAAAAATACTAGAGGGATCCAAAATATACTTAATAAACCATATAAGGCAAAGCAAAAAAAAAGAGGAATAAAAAATAGACTTATTTCTAGCCATATAAGACACATTCCAAAGAGTTGAGGGACAAACAATAGACTTATTTTAGGAAGAAGCACGATGTGCGGTCGTGTCTTTAGGCTGGCCGGGCACGACCCGAATCTTATTGTACTGTGTCTGGGCCATATATGCAGCCCGTGGGTTAGCACGACATGGCCCGACTGACATCGGCCCAGGCATGGCCTGGGCGGCCCGTTTGGCCATATATAGGGAGACCATGAGATGGGAGGCCCCGTAGAACTTTCCATGCTCCGATGGCCGGTTCGAAACGGCGACCATTGGCAACATGGCCCACATATCAGCGAGTGCAACAGAGATTAATCCGCCACTGCTCTAACTACCCTCTAAAGTCTGGGAGTCTTGTCGGTTCGTCCTCCTCTGCAAGTCCTCTCCGGCGTCCGCTTCTTTTCTCGCTTCTGCTCCCCGCCGCCACCGCCTCCTGCTCTCTCCGCTCGGGTTTCTCCGCGGCGGTTGTTAGCGAGGGGAACGAGGTATCGCCGGCGCCGTGGTTCCTGCGGGTGAGCTCTCTTCTCTAACCCTGCATGCTTAGCCGACGTGCCCTACGAGTGCTTGCTTGCGGTTGCGGGGTTGTGGGGGTGTACCCGTGACGGGGATTCAGTTCACACATTGCGTGGGGGCGCGGGTCGATTTTGCTGTCGCGGGATCGGTTCTGCGCTGATGCGACCGCGCCCTGAATCTAGGGCTCGTGCTAATTAGTTTGTTTGGTTCGGATTGTTGAAAGAGAGATACATCTGTGTGGTTCGCCTCTTAAATGGAGTCCTTGTTAGAATCTGGTTGCTTCTAGCGCCCTGAATCTAGGGCTCGTGCTAATTAGTTTGTTTGGTTCGGATTGTTGAAAGAGGGATACATCTGTGTGTGGTTCGCCTCTTAAATGGAGTCCTTGTTAGAATCTGGTTGCTTCTAGTTAGATTACCACTTTGATCGCAGGAACACGCAGTTACTTCTGGAATGTGGAATAGTTTAGTGCTTGCCTCTTGATGTGTAGGCAGAGTGGACTTTAATTTATACTCTTTTAAACACAATTCGTTGGGCCCTCGGATTCCTAGACTGCTTGTCTCCAGACAGTGGCATTGTGGCAATTAGTCTCCAGATATGTAGGCAGGAGTGACATTTTTTAACAGAGTAATCTGTTGATGCCTGGTATTCTAGTTTTTCTCTGGGCTGATGGTATGTTTGTTTACAAGGATCATTGAATGGTGGTATATTATTAAAGCATGCATCTGTCAGTGGTACAAACTTGTATCAATCTTAAGCATATTTGGTTATTTGTCTTAACATATTTATTCCTCATAAGAATTTGGTGGTCATGCGTAGCCAAGGTTAATGGTTTTAAGAATTACCTTCAATATTGTGGTATCAGGGCCTTCTTAGGCATATGCTTGATTCCATCATTCCGGAGTCTTAGTTGTTTTTTCTAAGTCTACCTAAGTGTAATCCTCTTTTCTTTTCCTCTCCTTTGGCGCCTGCTGCCAGTAGGATGCCGGGTGTAAACTCATTTGCTCTCTTGCTAATATAATGACACGTAAGCCTTTTGCTTGTTCGCAGAGAAACATTTTGATTCCTAAAATTGTATATATTGCTTACACACAACTTGTAATCTTGAGAATATCTTCTTAATATATTCCGTACTTGTTTGTTATGTACTTTGTTTTTTTTTTCTCAAGAATTACATATGTTTTGTGTTATATGATGTATAACATGCATGAACTACCACATTTAGGATGGCAGCTCCAGACATGCCCAACCGGTTCTCCCATATTGCCCATCAACTGGTGCATGCAGAGAAGAGGGAATCAATATTCTTTGTGAAAATGGTTAGAGTGCCTCACTGCCATGCTAAGATAGTGGAGCACCTGCAGAATAAATTCCATATGAAACCATCTGAAGCAGAAGGCACAATTAAGGAGCCCTTCTTTGCTACTGGATCTATGATTTATCAGGATGAGAATTTTGGATACATTTTGACCTGTGCTCATATCCTCGAGGATTTCTATTCAGCCAATATTGTACTGAGTAAGGAGCAGGCCAACAGGTGGTTCAAGTTTCTCATCCTCTGCAAGCACAATGAAGATCACATGAAGACTATCCATCCTGACTTGTATGAATCTGAGCGTGATAAGCGGAATTACACTGTAGCAACTGTTTTGAAAATTGATCAGCGTAAGGATCTTATGTTGCTTCAGTTCAATTTGTCCACACTCTATGCCACCCAGTATGCTCAAAGATGTCGCTTACCTCATCAGTCATTAAAGCTCGCAGAAAATCCATCCTCAGCACCAAATGATGTGGTCATGATCTCCTGGCCACCTAATAGGCCTGATACTGTTGTCATTGGGCAAGTTTCAAATCAATGCCGCTTATTCAACCAACTGACAACAGAAAGAGATAAAGGCTATAATATGCAATTTATAGAGCTAAAGATCAATGTTGAAAAGGGAGCATCTGGCTCACCTATACTCAATCATGCTGGTGATATCCTTGCAGTTTATCATGGCCGGATTGAAGGAAAGGGATATGCTATAAGCCATGACGACATTTACGAATTCCTATACACGCGCAAAATTCTATCACAGAATTTGCGTTAATGAGAGTGTTCATAAGTGAGTTGCATCGACAACAAAACAGCTCTCTGATTCTTCTAATGCAGTCAAAGTACTGATTTACAGCTTTGGTTCTGAAGCTATTGATTTTCAAGGACAAGAAAGTGTCTACCTGGAGGTACCTGTGATTACTGTTAGGCCGGTCAGCTGGTGCATACCTATTTGCCTGGATCAACGGGAGCGTTGTCTGCCTTGGCATATGCCTCCTTTTTGTCCCTATGAATGTGATACAGCTGCAGTTCAGAATGTTTTTTTATCGAATGCTGATGCTGCAGAAACTTCATGTTAGTTGTATTCCTTATACTAGGTCTCTTTTTCCTGCTGATACATCCCAAAAAACCACAGTATAGTAGATGGTACATCCTTATTCAACTCTGGATATTTTCCTCTTTTGTAATCAGATGCTCAGTTTTCACTATCTTTGTTAATTCTGATGGGTACAATGATACCCCAGAGAGAGATGGTACAATGGTACCCACATTTTCCTCTTGATATATCTCTCTTATGCATTGGATCTCCACTTTTCACTGTGTTGCAACTCTAGAGTTGTACTCTTATTTCGACATGAATATTTGAACAATTCACTTGGCATTGAATTCTCTTCACAACACAACTGTATGTCCAACTGCGATATATTCTGAGTTCTGAACTTATTGTATGTCAAATCCAGAACAAATTGTCCTGTGCGCAGTGTGCACTTTGTTCTTCTGCAGCTTATTGAAATTTGTCGATGCTGAACATTATGCCCCTAAATGCTGCGAAGTAGGTAAAAGTTATCTGGCAAACTGTCAGATTTGATTTGGTTAAGCACAACTATATATCGTGGGGGCAGCTGCCTCTTTTATACAGTAACTAGAAAAAAAAACCCGCGCAGATGCGCGGGAAATTTATTTATTGTTTATAAAAAGAATACTAAAATAAGTCATATCTCACCATATTTTATAAGAAAATTGATTAATAATAATTAAAGAAATATTTATATCCCGGTTACATATGAACTCGCCTATCATCATTCTTTGCAAAAATATGAGTTAATATGTGTTTGTTTTTTCTTTCATTATACATCCGATTCATCTATGCATATTCAGGGGTAATATACGATGGAATAATCTATATTATCAAAATTATTTGTGCTAATTATCAACACTATTTAGATGAGAATGTCATAATTAAAAGTGATATAATGTGGTTCCATGTGATATTTTTTATCGTAAGTATGTATGTTTTTTCTAGCGAATAGTAGTCTCATGTACGAATGTACTTTTTCCTTTTTTGATAAATATTTTTCTCTGATATGTTAGGTGTGTAATTGTATTTATAATTTGGATGTGCATACATTTATATGAGTGCTCACAATTCCATTTTATACCATTATTAAAATAAATACTTTGAAGAGATTTGGTGGGATGGTGTGAAGCAGCACTGCAGCGGCGTGGCTTCTTCGATAACCTCACCAGAAGTAGATGCCTCATAACACACGTGCTTATTGGTTATCAGCTAATTATTAGTTGCACAATGCATGGATGCCTCATAACCATTATGACTTGGCGATTAATGGATAGTGGTTTCTATATATAACTTATATACATGGGATTAGTGGAAACATAAAATTGATATATTTGGCTTGTTCCTGATTGACAAAGTATATTATATACTACATATTAAGTGTTTTAGTACGTAAGGTTGACTTCTAAAGTGCTTATCTGATTGGCTACTTTGTTATTTAAGATGAGCATGTTTCCCGAACTACAAAAGTTTCCTGAACTAAACGATGCGTGTTTTCTAAATACTTTCTATACAAAAGTATTTTTAAAAAATCAAATAAACCTATTTTCAATTTTGTAATACTTAATACTTGATTAATATTTTTTATGACATGTATCATTTTGTGTGCCCTAGATAAAGTCAGCCAGATCGATTGAAGGCCTATGTAGGAGATAAAAGGCATCGACACGGTATCAAAAGAATATATTTCATCATTAATTTTCTAGCAATATATGAAGAAGAAAATATTCAAGATAAATTTAGTAGTGTCATTTTAACACATCAATATTTTTTTCTAGTAGGTATTGAGTAAATTTTGAGAATGCTACACACAGTCGAAGTTGTTTTATTTTTAAAAATAAAAATCTAATATAATTATATATGTTGTTAAGTGATATATCTATAATTTTAATTTATTTATATTTTTCATGGATGTTTTCATGAGATATATTTTTTATTTGAACATAACTTGAAATAACATATATTTTTATTTTTACAACTTAAATTATAGTTAAGATGTGCTGATTATTAGATTGGTTTTTCGACTAACCGAGAAATAAAAAAAAGGAAAGAGAAGTACAAGTACAATTTTTTTTTGTCGGGTGTGGGTTTCGGGATACAAATGTACGTACTCACATACAGATATGGAACGATGTAAATCTTTGGAGATATCCTATCTTACTATAATGTTATCCTCCACTAACTTCTTAAGTTTGACATGCAAAGATGTCACATCATCATCTACTAACAAGATGCCACATCATCATCCACTAATTAACAAGATGTCATATCATCATCCACTAACACTCATCACATTTAAATATCATGCAAACATGCTATATATTTATAGTTTTTATAATTTAAGAGCTTTTAAAATACAAACATGTTAAATTATCATTCAACATAATTCACATAATGTTTCAATGTATATCTTTATTATGTTTTATGATATAAAGTATATAGTTCATCCTCACTTAGTTAGTGCTTAAATGATTAATCTATGGTCCAAATTATCTTTCTCTTTTTTTCTCTAATTAAGTCATATCACATCAATTGTTTTTAGTCTTTTGATGATTAGTATATCTCCCTACTTTTCTTCTTCCATAAAGTCATACCAGCTTACTTTTTAAGTTTGAATCACCATTCTACATACTATTTAAATTTAAATTATCATAAACCACATTAATTTACTTAATCTGATGTTATCTAGCTATCTTATATGTTATTTTTTTTTATTGTTATCATACTAAATTTCCGCAGCAATGCGTGGGGTTTCACCTAGTAATATAAATTTGATTGTTAATTTAGAAGATAGATCTAATGGTTAAAAATAATGGTCCCACCAGATTAAATGAAAATCAATGGCTAGATGTTTTGTTTTTTTCTTAGATTTTCTATGATTTTTAAAGTGCCACATGATGGCTTGAGAGCGTTTGTAGGAAGATTAATGGACTTTTAGTATATAATAATTATACATGTTGTTAAGTAATATATTTATAATTTTAATTTATTTATATTTTTCATGGATGTTTTCATGAGATATATTTTTTATTTGAACATAACTTGAAATAACATATATTTTTATTTTTACAACTTAAATTATAGTTAAGATGTGCTGATTATTAGATTGGTTTTTCGACTAAGTGAGAAATAAAAAAAAAGGAAAGAGAAGTACACGTACAATTTTTTTTGGTCGGGTGTGGGTTTCGGGATACAAATGCACGTACTCACGTACAAATATGGAACGATGTAGATCTTTGGAGATATAATATAAATTAGATTGTTAATTTAGAAGATAGATCTAATGGTTAAAAATAATGGTCCCACCAGATTAAATGAAAATCAATGGCTAGATATTTTGTTTTTTTCTTAGATTTTCTATGATTTTTAAAGTACCATGTGGCGACTTAGGAGTGTTTTTACGACTTAGGAGTGTTTTTAGGAGCATCATGTGGCGGCTTGAGAGCGTTTGTAGTAAGTTTCATGGACTTTTAGTATATAATAATAATAATAATAATAATAATAATAATAATAATAATAATAATAATAATAATAATAATAATAATAATAATAATAATAATAATAATAATAATAATAATAATAATAATAATAATAGATAGATAGATAGATAGATAGATAGATAGATAGATAGATAGATAGATAGATAGATAGATAGATAGATAGATAGATAGATAGATAACAAACTAATAATAATCACAGTCTTGCGCAAGACTATTTGTGTTTGGGTTGGGCCAAGGTTTTCATTCTACAGTTCTTGTTAGGCTGGAATGAAACAAAGTCCAATGTAACCCCCTCAACTATTAGCCGAATTTCGTATTTCGTAACCATCAACCTAAACGGGAAGTATATATCGATCAATCGCTCTAACTATATTAAAACCGATATGACTTTCGTTGCCGTGGCACGTTAAACCGGGTAATCCTAATGGGCGGGTGATCGCTCTCTCCCCTTCCTAGCGATCACCCGCCCCTCCCCCTTACTATTTTATCTCTCCATCTTCTCTTCCTACTACACCATAAATATTTGAATTCAAATTCAAATTTGAAACGGGTATGTAAACTTTGGGTCTATAAACTAATATTTAAATTTAAATTTAAATTCAAATTTGAAACGGGTATGTAAACTTTTGACCTATAAACTTTGGGTCTATAAACTAATATTTGAATTTAAATTCAAATTTGAAACTATGTAAACTTTTTACTTATAAACTTTGGGTTTATAAACTATTATTTGAATTCAAATTCAAATTTAAATCGGATATATAAACTTTTGACTTATAAACTTTAGGTGTATAAACTTTGGATGTATAGAAATACTATATATAAAAAATATTTGAATTCAAATTCAAATTTGAATCGGATATATAAACTTTTGACTTATAAACTTTGGGTCTCTGAACTTTAGATGTGTAAACTTGATGTGTATAAACTTTAGTGCATAAATTTACTAAAATAGAAAAGTAATACGGTGCCAAAAAAACCAGGTGGAGGGAGGGAGGGGGAGGGGGGGAGGGGGAGGGGGGGGGGAGCAAATTGATCGCTACCCATTGCCAGACGAGCAATCGCTCATTAGCCGTTTCGCGTTAAACCGACCAAAATTCTCTATTGATGGAACAAAATTCTCAGGCTTTGGCCCATTTTAGCAGCAGTAGAGAAGTACTCCCTCCGTCTAAAAAAAAGACAAATCCTGAGTTTCCATGTCCAACGTTTGACTGTTCGTCTTATATGAATTTTTTTTATAATTAGTACTTTTTATTGTTATTAGATGATAAAATATGATTAATACTTTATGCGTGGCTTGTCTTTTTAATTTTTTTTATATTTTTTTTTTCAAATAATACGGACGATCGACATGAAACCCAAGTTTTGTTTTTGTTTTTTTTTAATGAGGCGGCGGGACGTCATTGTCATCGTCCTCCTGGTCGGCGGCCAGGCGACGAGATCCTCCGGGCATGTCTTTCCCGGCGACCCGGCCCTGCCGGCTGCCGCCTCTCCACCCTCCACACCCCCGCCTCCCCACCCTCCACACCCCCGCCTCCCTCCCCTCAAACGCGGCCCTTCCATCCTCTAGATCTGTCAGTCCACGGACCACACGGACCCCGCTTGGCGAGGCGATGCGTTCGTCCAACGCGGACCACGAACTGTGTCTCCCTGCCGACGTTACCGCGCATCAAGATTAGGTGCAAGCTCGGGGGCACCTGCCTCAACGTTG